ATAGATTTTAAAAATTCATTCGATACTTGTCACCAATCAAGATTCTGCGTCGTATTTGCCTCTTTTAGCAGTTTTTTTTATCATTTTGTTGATCTTCATGAGCAATAGACTAAGTATTCAAGAACAGTCGATCGAAATTTTCCCAATTGTGTCTTCATTAAAGATGAGATCTCCAACTTTTTTCAAATTAAATGAGCCTCTCTAAGCCTTCTTCTCCGTTTTTTAGGGGAGGCTTGAGCCTCCCCAAGCCTAATGGGTCCGCCGCCTATGGTCAAGAGCTAAGGATGTATTATGACCCCATCAACAACAACAATAAGATAAGAGTTGAGTTGTTTATCGTTTGCAATGAATAAAAGGTTCGACACAGATTAGGTGTTCGCATTTTGTTCGTTTTTTTATAAAGTAAGTGACATCAAGGTAAGTGCAAAAGATAAGAGACTGGCTAGATGTTAAAAAGGAATCTTCTAGAAAGTTTCATTTTACTTTCGTGAAATTGTAAATTCTCGACGTTTCCGATCACAAATAGAATCCGATTATTGCTTAGTTTCCTTAAGACTTCAGTTGATTTAATCGCAATCTTAATTTACAATGAATAAGTTCGAACAAACAAAAAACCTTCTGTAAGAATAGTGTATTATTCCATGTGCTCTGAGGCTTCTATCAAAATGCGTCATCGATAGAGAGCGAGAGTGAGAATTAGAGAGAGAGAATTTCAAAACTTCTTCAACCAGTTAGTAAAATAACGACGTTCACAGAAATATGTGGGCAGAAGAAGGACGGAAACCTCATTAGCACCTCCATGTAATAAGCCCGTGTTGTAGAATGTCCAAAAGCAAATTTGTATCACATCTCCATCGATGATATACACAATGATGTCGATGTAGGAACTTAAAAAAATTTTTAAAAATCATGAATTTCATGAATTTTATATGAAAAACACGAAAATAAAAGTATTTTGAATGATGAAACGGACATTAATATTGATTTATTTCAAATTCATTGATTAAAAGAAACATTTTAACGCAGTAAATGCAATGATTTTGAATCTTAATCAAAATCATGGAATTAAATTGATAAAACTAGTTGTCTTAATCGATGAATTTGAAATACATCAACATTAATGTCCGTCTCATCATTTTTATGTAAATCTTTTAATTTTTTTAAGTCACTGAGAGTATGATGAATATCACGAGTTTTACTCTGTATTATACTAATTGAGAGAAAATATTATGTTAACGAATTACAACAGCAAGCCTGTGAAATTACTATGTGAAATACGATGGAGCTTTCTTCATCATAAATGGCATAGCTTGTCTCAAATATTCAAGTCTGCATACTATAGGAAAACAAGCGAAAATAATAAAATGTTAAAGTACAGAAGTCCGAGAAATCTTCAAAAATTACAAATAGCCGAAATATTAATAATAAAAGGTATTAGATCAATCAAAAAGAAAGAAAGAGATGCAGCTGAATGAGACAGACAATAGTTTTGAAAACTCGTTTCAGACAGACGAATTATTTACTGCCTCTCGAACCTAGTCCTTCATTCAGTCTAGAGAACATATCTGTAGTACATTCTAGTGGGCGCTTTTCATCATCTATCAGTAGTTTAATCTCATGTTAAGCTATGTTCGAATCCTACGATCAATTACATGGGCTATTTTGGCACAGAAAACGAACCGTTTTTCTGTATTTGCTCTTTTAGAAATGATTATTGTATATCTGTGGTTGTTCCTGTCACTAATAATCAGTCCGTGTTCAATGTTACAATGTTTCGAGTGTGAACCAAAAAATTACAACTTTCTTATAACATCCGATAATGTTCCTTCGGCGTTTAACTGTACAAGAATTGTTACACCAAATAAATTTTGTTCATTGGATATTTGGACAGTTGATAATGGAACAAAAAGTGATCTTCGAGTAACTGCATTTTATAATCTTGAGAAAAGAGATGTTCCCTATGTTTTGACTGGATTTACTCTACATAGTAGTGGGAATTTTTCTACGTATATTTTATATCACTGTTTAACAGATAACTGTAATAATCCTGGAGTTGTTCTCAAACGTTTACTTGAATCAACAACAACTGAAATTAAAGCACCTAGTCGATCATCTGTGGATCAATCAAAATTACCAACTTCTATCGAATGTTTTATCTATTCAAATTTTACAAATTCAAGTGAATGCAAACCAGCACGTCGAACAACAGACACAGAGGAAGGAGATTGCTCATTTTGTACAACATTCATTAATATTGATCCAAACAATTTACTAACAGAAAGAGTATGTTCATATTATGAAACCTCTTCACAAGTCAATTGAAAAATGGAAATATATTGATGGAAGAATTCATTTATTAAATGATCGTGTTAGTTATTTAGACTATGTGTCCTACGTTTGTAATGCAACAAACAATTGTAATTCATTAGAAAATATAAAAAATATACAAAGCACATATAAAATTGAATTTAATTTTGATAAATTTTTAGAACCTATCAGTATTGGAAATATTAATATATATTATTCAAAGTATATGATTTATTGTTCAATGGTTTTTTGCTTAATCTAATATTTGTAAAACACTATCGTTCTAATTTGTAGTTGTTTTTGCCTTCCGCTTGTTATTCAA